ATAGCTTGAAATAGATCTATACTAGTCTCCCTTTATTTATTTATCAGCACAAATATAACATATATATATATATTCACGTTTACCTCCTTTCTGGTTTTATAGGGTGCTCGAATGGTTCGGGAGCTGTTTGAAATGGCAAGGACTAAAAAAGCGTGCCTCATCTTCTTCGATGAAATTGATGCTATTGGAGGTTGGTGTTGACATATATTTCTTCAATTCTTCATACAACATTTTCTGGGAGATGACCAGGCTGAGCCCAAGAGAGGGGTTGCAGGCATCCTAAGTCATGAGTCCCTGCACGCCCATAAGAGATCTCAGTCCAATGCCTCTCTTATCTCCCGCTCTTCTTCCCTTAACAGTCGCTTGGCCACATTCTTGTAGATAGAGAACGTAAGCTTGCAATAAATCTTCATGCTGATTTGAATTTCTTGAATCTCCTGGACACATTGACTGTGATTCTTCTTTGTTTTTAATGATGTAAATAAAACTCTGCTTCTGTCTACAGAGATTATCAGTCATCCATGTCATGGTTGTCCCAAAGGTGCTTTTTAAAGAGGCAACTGGACTTTTCTGGGGGGGGGGGGTTTGGAGACATTTTGCTTCTCATCCAAGAAGCTTCTTCAGCTCTGACTGAATGGTGGGGAATGGAAGGATTTATATGCCTTGCAGCTGGTCATTTGCATTTTTGGAGAGTCGTTGAAGCGACCCTGAGGACACAGATAAACCTCCAAGTGGCTTCAATGACTCTAAAAAGAATGCAAATGACCAGACTATAAATCCTTCCATTCCCCACCATCCAGTCAGATGAGAAGTGAAACGTCTTCAAAGAAAAACTGGAAAGTCCAGTTGCCTCTTAAAAAAGCACCTTTGGGAAAACTGTTGCTTCCTTTCCCCTTCTCTTTCTCTGGATAGCTACCCCTTGGTCTGATTTTAAAAATATCCTCCCCCAGATCCAGGCACCGTTCACATGCTTCACTCCAGCACCAGTCTCAGATGGTCATCGGTTGTCCCAGCTTTGTGGCAGCCATCTTTAACTTTGGCTGCCTCTTCTGGTGGTTGAGAGGGAAAGTGAACCAGGGGGTTCCAGGACAGCTGCGACTCTCCTTGACCAAAAGAGGGGCAGGGTGCCCCTCTTTGCTTCACCACCCCTACAGGGTGGCTTTGGCCCCTCATGGAGCCCACAAACAGGAAAATTCAGCACAGGGAACGGAGCCCCGTTCTACTGTGTCTGAAAGGTGCCGCAACATCTACCGCTCTGATTTGCTCTTAATTCATCTGTAAAATAACCAGCACCAGCAATCGGTGTCGACAGTGTGGGATCAAAATCTTGCCTGGATTTTAGTTAACCTCTTCAGTCAGGATATTGTTCTAAAGTGCTTGTTTTTAATTTTTAGGTGCTCGCTTCGATGATGGGGCTGGAGGAGACAATGAAGTCCAGCGCACAATGCTGGAATTGATCAACCAACTCGATGGCTTTGATCCGAGAGGGAATATCAAAGTGCTGATGGCAACCAACAGGCCGGATACCCTCGATCCAGCATTGATGAGGCCTGGAAGATTAGATAGGAAGATTGAATTTAGCTTACCGGATTTGGAGGTTTAGAATGCTTTTATTCTTAAATAATAATGACGTTGATGACAATGATGAAGAATAGTATACCAGTACAGGTAGTCCTCAACTAACGACCCCATTGAGTCCAAAATTGATGTTGCTAAGGGATGTTTGTTGAGTTTTGCTCCATTGGACGAGTTTTTGCCACCTTTGTTACATGTGAACAACCTGTCGGGCATCCGAATGTAAATCTCCTGTCCATGGTGGCGGGGGTGGGGTGGGGCGTAGCAGTCATAAGTGTGAAAAACAGTCATGTCACTTTATTTCGTAACTTTGAATGGTCACTAAATGAACTGTTGGAAGTCGAGCACTACCTGTATATTTATTAGAACGGAGTGACTTTGAGTGAAAAAAGACTTTTCATATTAACATCTCTGAGCTGTGTACCTCGTAAAAAGAGCAAACTTAGCATTTCTTTTCGCATTCAAAGGACAAATTTCCTCAGATTAATGGTGGACATTCTATGTTAGGTGTGAGTAGTTTGAGCTTGTCTTTCTCTCTCCCTCCGTCTTAAGAATCTTGCACAAGTCTGAGGTAATAAGAGTAGAACCTGTCATTGGTTATTTATTGATATCCGTCTTTATTATTACAGGTAGTCCTCGATTTACAACTGCAATTCAGGCCAAAAATTATATTGCTAAGAGAGACATTTGTTGCCCCATTTGATGACTTTTCTTACCAACGTTGTTAAGTGAATCACAGCAGTTGTTAAGTTAGTAACCCGGTTGTTAAGTGAATCCGGCTTCCCCTTGATGTTGCTTGTCAGAAGGCCGCGAAAGCTGATCATGTGACCCCCCAGGACACCGCAAATGTCATAAATATGAACCAGTTGCCAATCCTCCAAATTTCGATCCCGTGACCATGGGGATGCTGCAACGGTCGTAAGTGTGAAAAAACTACTTTTTTCAGTGCCGTTGTAACAACAGTCACTAAGTGAACTGCCGTAAATCGAGGACTACCTTTATTCCAAATAATTCAAGGTGGTGAACATCTCCAATACATCCCCATGCTCTTATTTTCTCCACAATAACTCTTGAGGTAGGTTGGGCTGAGACAGAGGGACGGGCCCGATGTCACCCAGTTGGCTTCATGGCTGAGGCAGGACTTGAACTCACAGCCTGCCACTTTCTAGCCTGGTGCTTTGACCAAACTGGTTCTCACATAGTTGTTCCACATACCCCCCACACTCATTCACCCCTACCCACATCTGATTTTCCATTCTTCACTTGCACACAATCATCAATTTTGTCATTTAATAACCCCATAATCCCTTGGGCAACTGAATGGAGCTAGCAGAATGTTTACTGGCCGGATGCCTTTCGTGTCACCAATACGGAGTTTTGTTCAGCAGATATATTCTCTTAGTCTCATCTTTGCTCAGAACAGCTTACTGTCAAGACTGACTCGTATTTTCAGATATAGTCTCATTGTGCCCAGAAAGAGAAACATCTGCCTGTACCTAGGATTGAACTCACAGCCTCCCGATTGTGAGGCGAGAGCTCCCCCTCTAGGCCACCGCACTACTCATCCTCACTTGCACACAACGGCATGCTCAAAACCCCTCTGTCTTGTTTTTCTTGGGAAGAGCAGGGCAAGTCGTCTTGATCTGAGCCAGGAGAACCTGCCTTGAAGGGAGCTCAACATTTGCTAAACCCCTTTGAGTTCACCTATGCTTCTCATAACCAAATCCTGGTTCTTTTCTTTCTTTCTCTTTTTTCTTTAGGGAAGAACTCATATATTCAAAATCCATGCCCGTTCCATGAGCGTTGAAAGAGACATAAGGTTCGAATTGCTGGCTCGGCTGTGTCCCAATAGCACCGGTAAGTTAAACGTTAGCAATAGCACTCAAGACTTATATACCGCTTCATCGTGCTTTACAGCAGGGATCCCCAATTCCCAGTCAGTGGAACGGCACCGGTCTATGACATGCCAGCAACAGGGCTGCCCATGGGATGCACGCAGCAGCTAAAGCCCCGCCTCCCCCCAGAAAAACCTGTCTCCACAGAACAGGTCCCCCAAATGTTTGGAGGAATGCACTGCTTTACAGCCCTCTCTAAACGGTTTACAGAGTTCTCATTTTAACCCTCTTAAAAAAGCACCTTTGGGAAAACTGTTGCTTCCTTTCCCCTTCTTTCTCTGGATAGCTAGACCTTGGTCTGATTTTAAAAATATCCTCTCCCCCAAATCCAGGCACTGTTCACCTGCTTCGCTCCAGCACCAGTCTCAGATGGTCATCGGTTGTCCCAGCTTTGTGGCAGCCATCTGTAGCTTTGGCTGCCTCTTCTGGTGGTTGAGAGGGAAAGTGAACCAAGGGGTTCCAGGACAGCTGCGACTCATTTACAGGGTTCTCATTTTACCGTCCTGGGAAGGATGGAAAGCTGAGTCAATCTTCAACCGATCAGGATCAAACTCCTGACAGTGGGCAGTTTGCCTGCAATACTACACACTAACCACTGCGCCACCATGGCTCTTTCCTACCATTATAGTTTTTGTCGGTTGTGCTCTCCCGTGCTTTGTTATTAAGCTTCATGTTGTTTTTAAATCCCATTTTTTTTATTCCCTCCCCAGGTGCCGAAATCCGCAGTGTCTGTACAGAGGCGGGTATGTTCGCTATCCGAGCGAGGCGAAAAATTGCCACCGAGAAGGACTTCCTGGATGCGGTGAACAAAGTCATCAAGTCCTATGCCAAATTCAGCGCGACCCCGCGATACATGACCTATAACTAAGCTTGGATCTTTTAAGATGAGCCTCAAAACGACGAGTTTGTTTCTGCGGAGTATTGCGTTGTAGCTGGACCTAGTAGAAGCTTTTTTTAAAAAATGACATTCCAACTTACGTGGTTGTCTTTATTAGTGTAAACATTTAGCTTTATTGTGATATTCAATAAAGAGATCCAACTCCCGGCTTTTAATGCTTCTTGTTTAATTTACTTTCTAAATTGCGCCATAGTGGCGCAGTGGTTAGAGTGCAGTACTGCAGGCTACTTCTGCTGACTGCTTGCAATTTGGCAGTTCAAATCTCACCAGGCTCAAGGTTGACTCAGCCTTCCATCCTTCCAAGGTGGGTAAAATGAGGAGCCAAATTGTTGGGGGCAATAGGCTCGCTCTGTAAACCACTTAAGATGGCCCAGTGGTTAGAATGCAGTATTGCAGGCAAACACTGCCCACAGTCAGGAGTTCGATTCTGACTAGCTTAAGGTTGACTTAGTCTTCTATCTTTCCAAGGTCAATAAAATGAGGAACCAGATTGCTGGGAGCAATATGCTGACTCTATAAACTACCCAGAGAGGGCTGTAAAGCACTGTGCAGTGGTATACAAGTGTAAATGCTATTGCTATTGAGCCACAGTGACTCAGTGGTTAGAGTGCAAGTACTGCAGGCTACTTCTGCTGGCTGCCATCTGCCTGCAATTTGCCAGTTCAAATCTCATCAGGTTCAAGATTAACTCAGCCTTCTATCTTTCCGAGGTTGGTAAAACGAGGAGCCAGATTGTTGGGGGCAAGAGGCTGACTGTGTAAACAGCTTAGAGAGGGCTGTAAAGCATATAAGTCTTAAGTGCTGTTGCTACATTTGCTAAATCAAATGTAAATCTCTTAAGGTTTAGATTAAGCTTCAGGCCAGGAACACTTTTGAGAAGAGTACAATGGTGCCTTGGCCTACAGCTTTCGGCACACAAATAATGGTACCCAAGATGGTTCTTCCAACTGGTTTGAAGACTAGAGCATTTCATGCTGGAGCAATGAAATTAATTTTTAACAAAGGAAGAAAGTGAGAATGAGAAGTGAAGAATTGGAATAAGGCGGCACTGTATCCTGGTTGGTGGCTTTATTAAAAGTCTGGGTTAGCCAACCTTAGCAACTTTTTAAAGACTTGTGGACTTCCAACTCCCAGAATTCCATGCTGGCTAGGGAATTCTAGGAGTTGAAGTCCACAAGTCTTAAATGTTGCCAAGGTTGGACACCCCCTGTTGGAAACAATGAATGTATCAGGTTTCCGAAAGATGCTCTAATTGATTCATGAGCCTCGAGCCAAATTTCAAAAGAAAACCAGTCATTTTGGCAATACCTATTGCAGTCAGATCTAAGCCTCATTTGAATTATAGCTGAACTTTACCTGTTCCTTCCATCCCTCCAGTCTGTGTCATAAATCACATTCTCCAACGAGGTGCACCCCTCCCAAGCCTGCTGTAGTAATCTGAGATCTGGACTCTAGCGAAAGATATGCATGGAATGCGCTCCCCTCCATTTTCTCACCATGGGTTGACAAGGCTGAAGCAGTGAAGGCCCAACATACTATACATTTGTTACCATACCAATGAATGAATTGGCAGAGGGAAATGTCAAGATTTGCCTTCTTTTTTATTTAGAGGTTTTAACTTTGGACTCGTTATCTGAAAGAAACGTCTGGTTATAAAATGCAACAGGTCCTTCGCCAGAACGGGCGGTCGATAGGATATATTGTCCTCAGTGCAGTCACTCCCACAAAAATGTCAAGCTCTTGCAAAAAAAACCTCGAATGATTAATCTGTATATTCAGAGTATTTCTGTTTACTCTAGCAATTTGCATAAGCTGCAAAAGGGCCACAGAGGAGTCCCACATCCTTTTGTACAACATCGCTAAGAAGCAACCACGAAAGTGTGGGGGTGGCCTGAATAACTTACATTTCATTTCTAGAAACTTCTATTCAGTTGGCAAGGTAAAGATTCCCCTCCCGTCTCTAGGGGGCGGTGCTCATCTCCGTTTCAACGCCAAAGAGCCAGCGCTGTCCGAAGACGTCTCTGTGGTCATGTGGCCGGCATGACTCAACGCCCGAAGGCGCACGGAACGCTGCTACCTTCCCACCAAAGGGGGGTTCCTATTTTTCTACTTGCATTTTTTACGTGCTTTCGAACTGCTAGGTTGGCAGAAAGTGGGACAAGGAACGGGAGCTCGCTCTGTTATGCGGCGCTAGGTATTCGAACCGCCAACCTTTCTGATCGACCCGCTCAGCATCTTAGCTATTGAGCCACCATGTCTCTCTAATCAGTTTGCAAACTGATGCTAAATGAAACAGCTTTTGATGGAAGAGTCTTTCAGCTATCAATATTTCAGGCTTGCTTCAAAACAATAGATAATAAACGCACGCTTGTAAACAGCCTGCGATAGATACACCAAAATCCCCTGGTTTAAACGTACCGAGGAAGAAAACCTGTTGATCTAATAATAATAATAATATTCTAAAACAGAGAGTTTGGCAACGTTATCAGGAAGGCAGAAACTATTTGGAGAGGGAAGGAGGGGAACCTCCCTGGATGCTTAAGGCTTATTAAGTATGGTTGGAGAAATCGAATTATCTGCTCAATTCCTCCATTCAAAGTCTTTTATTTTCGGCTGCTTCGTGGCGCCAATGTCCCAACCCTGTTTTTTCCAACCTGAGAGCACTTTTGAAATAAAACTTGCATAGGGCATCCAGCTGCATTCTAGTCAACAAAAGAGATTTTTAGGGAACCAACCGCTGGACATCATCTTTTTAACAACCTCATAATCCCTTGAGGGGTGGAGTCTTGAGCAGCTGAATGGAGCTAGCAAAGTGTTTACTGGCCGGATGCCGTACCTGTCGCAAGTGTGGAGTTTTGTTCAGCAGGTACAGTCTTCATTGTGCCTCCACCGAGGTTCGAACTCACAGCCTCCTGATTGTGAGGCGAGAGCACCACCTCCAGGCTACCGCACCACTCCAACCAACTGCTGGACATAATGGGACATAAATTGCGATGCTTGTTCACCGATTCCCACATTGCGTCGAGAGTTGACTCGAGAAACCAACTTCCTCGGGAGTCAAGTGATGTGGGATTTTTAGAAGAGTCTTTTTTTGTGTGTGACTTCATTCAAGATGTGTCAATGCGCAGAAAACACATCCAATGGGATCCTCTTAACACCATTTCTTCCATTTTTTTTTCTTTCCAGACGACTCGTAGCTTGCTGCAGTAACTATGCCTAGTTAGCTTCAGGTGTAAAAAGTAGATTTTGGGTACTAGGCTTTTTCTCTCTCTCTTGCCTAACTAGTTGCACTATTTATAGTCTTGTTCATTCCCAGCGAATTTTAAATACACCTTGCTTAAGGTTAAGCATTGGGTCAGTACAAGGAGCCTCCTTTATGCGAAAACGATCTATTACTCTTGATTCATAATCATTTATAAAACGGAGCTAAAGTCCTCGTGGTTGCAAAAAAAATGTTTATCCTTAGTAGTTCATCGAACGAAAACCCACTGATTTCTAGATCGGAAAATCTGGAAACACAGCTTGCATTTTCAAGAGCAGCACTATCATACACACAACACCACAATTGCACCCACCCATCCACCCAGTTCTGCCTTCCACACACCCATCTCAATTCTTGCACGGAAACGCGCTGTTAAAATAGCAGCGTGTTCATATTTTCCGGCCCGTCCCTCGAAAGAAAACGGGCCAAAACAGAAAAAGAAGACATATCTTCCCGTGCTCTACAAATATTCGCGTTTATCCCACACGCCCCGCCGCGACAGCTTGTGGATTTCCGTGAAAAGGTAACAACATTAGAAAAGGATTAAGGCTTCGGAGGTCTTCAGGCCGCGGGGCTGGCAGGGAAATGCGGGCTGTTGGGGTGTGGGTGCAAACACACACACCTTACCCGTAGCTAGTGGCTAGTCTTCGGCTCCGTCATCTGTGCAAATTGTCTACGGGAGCCCTTTGGAAATAGATCCAACTGGTTCAGGGGTGGAGGAGTGAGTTAAAGATAGGTGGAAGAGAAGCCCCTCAGCTGGCTGGTGAGGACAGCATCGTGAATGCTCGGAAAGAACAACTCTCGTAAGGATGCTTTCTCGAAAAAATGCAGTTTAGCAAGATTGTCCAAAACAGAACCTGGTGAGAATAAAACAATATATATATATTGTGAAATATATATACATACATANGGAATTTGAACTAAGACAAAATTGTACCAAAGATACAATCATACTAAAAGTGATGATGGTGCATCTTCCCCAGAAATGTGGGAGTAAAAGTGTGTTGAGTATCACACTGAGTTTAGATTTGTGTGTATGTGATAAATCAGTATGACGGGTGATTAGAAGTGCTAAGAGTGATGCATGTTCTTTACCATCAAGAATTCTGACTGGTTTAAATTTGGCAGCAATACTTTTTCCTAATAGACATGTCAAATTTCAGGTACTGTTTACAGGGATAATGTTTGTAATTCTGAAGGTCCTCATATCAGGGTTCATTGTGAGACCTTTCTTACCAACTAATCACTCATTTTAATCATATCTAGTTATCAGAAAAACTTCAAGATACAGAAAATGAAGCTATGGCAAAAATTGTGGAACTGGAAAAACAACTTATGCAAAGAAACAAAGAACTGGATGTTGTACGAGTAAGTTTTCTAAAAGTACAGATGTTAATGTTTGATAGCTTCTCAAATTTTGCTTCTAGATGCATCTTTGTATTTCCATTTGCTTATAGTTGAATGTCATTCTATAGAAGCTGTGTATTTCCAAGTCTAAATCTCTTTATTCCTTTATTCCTGTCTAAGCATATTCTATCTGCCATTTTGCAATTGCTGATATGTAGAAAGTATACATTTGTCTATGCGTTGCTGCATAATGGTAATTTGTAATTCCAAGGAGTATATAAAGGTCTTCTTTCATGTCTCTCAGCTTATTAGCAGCATGTTCCTCTTTGATCCGGCCACTTTGATGAAGTATGAGGTTTTATTTTCAAAACAGGAAGCATTAAATTTAGAGTTCACATAAATCCTTTTGGAGCTTAGCTCTGGGATATCGTCCACTGCATTTGCTTGTTTTCCAGATTCTAGATGGATACCCTTAATTACAGAACATATTCATATACTTTGTATATAGCCATATCTAAAAAATGGGAGAAAAGGGGAAAAT